AACTATCTTGCTTTGCATGTAATGAGTCTATCTCATATATTAGTTTCACCTTTTAAGTTGCATTAGTGAAATAAATGAACTTTGCACGATATTCTAATTATTCGAGTTTCACCTGTATATGTTACAGCTACAGACCTTCAACTCTTTGACTAGACAAGCTATTGAAGAATAGCTTGCAGTGCCAGGCTGCTGTAAGCAAATCAAGTAGTCCTGTCCTGTATTAAGAAGGGGATTTAGTGTAGAGACAAGTCTATAATTGTGCCACTTTATAGATCGCTGGTTCGGCCTCATCTGTAGTATGCGGTGCAGTTTTGGTCGTCAGTCCACAGAAAGGACGTCCTTGAGCTGGAGAGAGTCCAGCGGAGGGCAACCAAACTAACTAGGGGAATGGAGGACCAGAGCTATGAGACAAGGCTACTAAATTTAAACATGTTCACGTTGGAAGTAAGGAGATTAAGGGGGGACATGATTTTCATGTATAAAATGTTCAATGGTGACAGCAACATTAGCAACAAACTCTTTACGATTAACTCCATAACAAAGACTAGAGGCCACCACCTAAAAGTGGTGGGGAAAAAATTCCAGCACAAGGGGCGAAGGGGGTTCTTCACAGTTAGAGCGGTTAGGGTCTGGAACTCGTTGCCAGAGGCAGTGATTTCGGCTAAGAATGTGGAAACATTCAAGAAGCATTTGGATGATTTCCTGAGAGACCTTAATATACATGGATACAGGTACTCTTAAGAATGGGATAATACATGGACCTATACATATGCACACAGCAGCAATAGGTTGGACTTGATGGACTTATGTCTTTATTCAACCTCAAATACTATGTAACACTGTGAAGAGTCCTTGTATTGGCATTGACAATACTGGCAGTACTGATGAATAAGTGAATGCTATAGTATTTTTGCAAATATTTTATTCTTTACGTTGTTACGCTCAGCACATTTTTTTTCATTATGTACATGTTTTAGTCTGATAAATGTAATACATTTGTATATAAATATTTCATATTTAGCTTTCCATCCAGCAGGTGGCAAGTGTGAGGCTGGTACTTCGAGGCTTTAGATTGCTGATTTACTGTGATTCTGAGAATAGCAGGATCTCAAGGTAAAAACGCACAAAGCTGAGTGAGTCATCTGAATGACTCAACCAGGGACCCCCCTCCTCCTCTTCCTCCTTTCCAAGTAGATATAGTAATGTCTAGATGTTCAGTCTGCACAGCTACTTTTTTGCTCTCTTATTAGACAGCTGGGGATGCATTGTCCACACCAAGGCATGTAAACACTTTGCATTACATGTCTTTTTGAAAAATAGGAACTTAATACAGTTTTGTAAAATAGTTTTTAAACTCATAAAAAATGTTTTATAAAATTGAGTTTCCGTATTAAAGTTGGAACTCCAGGGAAATCTGGGTATGTTTTCTGTTTTGCCTACCAAAGGATTTGTCAATTAGGCCAACCATGCTTGTGATACGCACACCTCCGTCAGTCTGGAAGATCACTATGCTACATCTTGGATCAACATTACAAAGTAATAGCTCCCTGTCCTTAGGACAAAGCACTATGTGTGTGTTGCTGTAGAAGAGTTCCCCTCACCTCCTGTCTGTGAAACCTTGTCACCGGGGACAGTAAGTGAGTTTAAATCTCTCAATGGAGCCCTGGATAACCTTAAAATCTAACTTGGTTCTAATCCTTCCCTAAGCTATCCCAAAAATAAAAAAGGTTTGACTTTCCTTACACTTTAATCTACTTCTGATTCAGTACCCGTGTTCTCAGATCTGCTCAGCTGTCAGCATTATTATGCTGGCCACAGACCTTACAACCATCGCAAGACTTTTGTCTTGCGATGGTTGTAAGGTAATTTAAAAAACGTACGATCTGCCCATCTTGGACAGGCAGATCGTACTTGCGATAATCGCAAGCCCGCCCCTCTGAAGGGTGGGCTTCCGATGACCGCAATGCTGAATGGGCAGTGTGCGCTTGCGCACACCAGCCCATGCGGCATTTATCTTACGAACCTGCCACACACCCACCGACAATTGTACGATTATCGGCGGGTTTTCGAACATGTTCCTAAGATAAAAGTCGTGTGACCGTACAGTTAAAACGGTCGCACGCCTTCCACACACCTTGCGATAATCGTACGATCGCGGGATTTCCCGCGATTATCGTACGATTATCGCAAGGTGTGTGGGCACCTTCAGAATGATTCCTTTCGGGATTTGTTAATTTGACCTAAATTCCCATTCCTCCTGCAAGTATTCTGCTTTCCTGCACTACTGGATAAAATCTCCATGTTGTAGTGGTGACGGTGGTGAAGTAAATGCCACAGCCAGAATCTCCAACAAGAAAACGGAGGTATGAAAAGGCTCTGGCTGATTGAACCTGATGTTGCCATTTCCTCTTACCTCAGTTTGTCTAGTACTGTTAAATTCTTCATTTGTTGCATGTTGATTTTGCTTGTTAGTTTTAAAATATATTTCTCTGGGAAGTCAGTGTTTGGCAACTGTGTGTATTTCATACATGGTGAATGAGTTTTCCACCAAATTAATAATGCATAGCCTTTTTTTTAAGGATGCCTATTTTCTGCTGCTTTCATTTGTAGTGCAGGATGTTTGTGCTGAAAGCAGAGCAGTTGTGTATTTTCTGACATAATGCCTCATTTAGTTGAGTCAGTAATCTGATGCGAAGCCTTATGAATAAACAAATTTCCAGTTGTTTTTCCAACAATACCAATATACACTCAGCTATCCCGGAGTAACGGTTATTACCTACAAATGAGAAAGGGCTTGTGATGCAAATCATGGTGATTTTTGACAGTCTGTGAGATAAAGTGTAAAAGTGCATGTTTGTGTGTTTGTCTGTATAGTCCGTGCATAATGCTTATGTAATTTTCAGTGTGTTTGAAGTTCACGGTAATTGCATAGTTCTAACCAACTTTTGCAGCCATTGAAAGTGTTCTAGCGGAATTTATGGGACTAACTAACCCCCCCCCATCAGAGAAAATGTGTAAATAATACAGCTTCTTATATATGTTCTGCTGTTTGGACAATTAACACTAACCTTAAGATTTGCTTTAGTATCGCTATGATAAGAACCATCGGACTAGTACCAGCATGCTTCAGTCCAATGGGAAATGACTAGTAAAGGCTTGCATAGATCTGTAGAGATACACGGAAATCAGACTCGGAATACAGTTGGCATCAACATTCCTCCTGTCTCTCTCCTCAGTGAAACATGGTACCATGATGATTCCATAATGCACATTATCTTTTTTTTTTTTACTAAATAAAATGTCAGCCCTCCTGCCATCTTTATAAAATGACCCGTAGGCTTCCTGCTCTGTTTCTCTAGGGTTGGCAGCACAGACATTAGTTTTATTTTCTTTGCCTATAGCAACCCCAGAAGGTGATATCTGGCATCATTGTCTGACCTTTCAGACATTGCAATACCCTGTGGGCATCATTTATTATTTCGAATTTACCAACCAGGTCCATTCACACCATAACCTTTTCCAATGTGTTCCTGGCTTGAAGAAAGGTGGTCTTGTAGGGCAGCTTGAATTAGACAGAAACAAAACATGCCATAACTGCGTGTCACATTTCGGTAGGGCAGTACTGAAAGCACAGCATTGTGCGCAGTGGTGCTAGCAATATCATGTGGCTTCCTATGCATGAAAGCTCATGGTAATGGATAAACTAGTGAGTGAGCCTTAAAGAGGAACGATTTAGTGCTCGTTTTGGTTTAGGGGCTCAACTAAAGCAGATATACTCACCTGAGGTGTGTGCTGACTGCTGCCAGACAGAGGATCAGGTGAGTATCTTCTTTATTTGCACCCCTAGACTAAAACAACCAAGGGTAGCTTTCATAAAATGCTAGTTTTTTTTTTGAGGGCCTGTTCACACGACTTCCGTTTTCTGTGATGACCTGATCCGTACGCTCCTGCACTAAAAATGCATCCCAATGTATCCCTATGTGTTTTATGGGCTACAGTTCTCACGTGCGCAGTCCGTTCAGGTTACGAAAGAAAAAATACTGCATGTCACATTTTGTCCGGTCAGGAAACGGACCGGAAACGCAAAACGCGTCAAAAACGCACTGCACTGCAGCTAACATACTGACAGCCCCACTCCAGCAAAAAAAAAAAACTGGAACGCGGCAATCAGTAGAACCGCGTCTGCAGATCCGCACCTGATCAGGACCTGATATCATGTGAACAGGCCCTAAAGGAAAAACCCTGTCTCCAGACTATTCGCTTCAACAAACATCTCATAAGATTGTATGGGCATTTTACATATTTTATGCATGGTATTGATCTCTTAAAGTCTACCTTGTATAGACCCCATGAAGCTACTGCTGGGGTCTGCCATGGTAGATTTTCTGTAAGCAGACTCGGAGCTATCACTTAAGTTACACTCTTTTAGTATTTCCCTTTTACTCTCCCCCGGCAAGTACATAATGTAGGGAGGTGAGGGGAGGGTTAAGCCAGCACAGACAATATTTAGACACTCCCAGAAGAGTATTGAGCTATGATGTGCATAGGGAGGAGGCTGCGCTAGGGAAAAGACGTGCGCTTTTCTATCATGTTGATGGGCACATGGTTACTACATACCAATAATTTACTTAAAAGAAAAACACTGCAAGTCAGCATTATAAAATACTTTAATTTTTTTTCTGCGTTTATTTGTAGCTTTTAGGTTGGTTGCAGGGTCTCTCCAAACCAATGTGATTTATTGGTCTGTTGCATTGGGCTGGCCTGCTCCAGGGTGGGGCCAAGAGAACTAAACATTTTTAGCATGGAAAGGTTCTTTAATAGGAAGGTACTGACTAGGAGTTCTTGGGATTGATAGCCTACAAAATCCATATACTGGCTACATAAAATAGCTGCCAATCCTGGGTGTCTTAAATATTTTTGTTTTAACACTTGATGTTGGAATTCTTAAAAACAAAAACAGCCATTTTTCTTATCTATTAACGCTGTTTCTTTCCCTGCAGCTCACATTGCAGAGCACACAGTGCAGAGTGGCCTTCTTTGAAGAACTGTAATCCATTACCTGTCACTTGTAGGCATCCCAAACTCTCCACGGACATCAAGCGAGGGTCGCAAACACAATGCAGACACATCATGCAACTGTGACAAGGGACAGCTATAAATATGGTTGAACTCTTTTTTTAATTATTTTTATCGTCTTTATTCAAGCCTGTGCTGTGTTCCTTTGCCATAAATAAACCATTATCGCTCAGAGGAACAATGTGATCTGATAAATACAATGTTTTGCTTGTAATATCTGGTTTGTGTGATGGGAAAAGTACAGATGAAAAAAAACATTTTCATGGCACCTTCAAAACTGTACACACTTTATTTTTTGTACATGAAAAGAAGTATGCTCTTTAAAATGTGCCAATGCAGATAATCCTTTTGCAGCACTTGGCTAAGGCATGGCAAGACAACTGGACATCAAACAACTATCAACAGCTTTTTGTGGCTCTTTGTAAGCACCTTTTACAAGACGCAGAGGATCCATGCGGCTTTTCCTAGACTCCCTCATCAACCACACTGTGGTTTATTTGCCAGTGTGCACCTGACAGTGTTATGGCTGTTGTCATCACTTATAGGTACTGGTTCTTGTTGCATTTTGGTAGCTGCTTAATGGTGGTTAGCAGCAGCAGTTGTAATAAGTTATAGTAAGCTTACATCTGCTGAATTTTGGAAGCTGCAAGTCTAAGCGGTTGATGTACTGAATGTTCCAGCCAGTGTATAACTTGGCAAATGCCATTCACACAGGATTCCTACCACTAGATGGAGCCAAGGGAATTTATATGCTCCTCAGCGCCATCTAGTGGCGGGAATGTCTTGCCAAAGGCATTCACCCAGCTATACGCTGAACAGAACGTTGATACATCAGCCACTAAGTGTTCACTGCTGGAGGAAGTTATGTAATATATACTTTGTTTACACATTTTGATCTTTTGAATATTTTAGTTTATACTACTTTAACAGAAACATGTTTCCTTGAGTGGATTCAATATGCAAGGTCTTATTAGTTCCTTGGTTTAGAAAGTGTCCCTCAAAATGAAATAGTGTGGGGGTACCCCTGTTGATAGAAGTGGAAGTCTTTCCTCTAGGATCTCTCTCCTCAACCCAAATTCTGTACATTGTTTCGACACTACATAAGGCGATTTCTAAGAGAATGGATGCAAGGCGACACACTTGTATAGGGAGTTTTCAACTGGACACTTGCCAATAGGAGAAACTACAAATTCAGACTTTTTTTTTTTTTAATGTCATATGATAAATTATCAGGGTCAGGTTTGAGACTCTTGGTTCATTTATTAAATTGTCTTATTTTTACTTATTTAATTTATAGACCATCTTAAAGCATGTTATTTTCAGCATTATAGGAATTAGAATTTTGTTAATGACTATATAGTAAAATAGGTTTGCAAATGTGATTATGGTTGACCCACATTTAGTTTTCTGTAGCGGTCCTTGGACATATGACCAGCAATAACCTCCTTTCATTGCTATCGCCTGCTTTTCAGAAATAAAGGTGTACCATATGGTTGAGATCCCAGCTAGCATTAAAGTGACACGAAGCTCAGGAGGCAAAACTTTAAAATGCTTTCAAGTACCTTAACTATTGTATCTTATTTGTGTATCACTCAGCTGTAGATCCTCAAATCATCTCTGAATTGGTGCTTACACTGTCCTTTCTTCTGGAGGGTGGCTACTCGTGGTCACTGTGTGTTGTAAAGTTGCCACCGCTCCAAGCTCACTCCCATGATGGACTACAATCTCAATACAAATGAGTAAACTAAACATGAGATTGTAGTCCATCACGGGAGCGAGTCTGAAGCACACGCTGCATTACAACACACACAGGGAACATGGAGAACAAAAGTAGCCACCCTCCGGAAGGTCCGTGTCAGCACAAATTCAGAGATGACACAAATAAGATACATTTTTGGTAATAGTTAAGGTATTCGAATGCATTTTTAAGATTTATCTCCTGAGTTTAGTGTCAATTTAAGGGGAGGAGTTGGGTCTTCACTGGGGACCTCTATAGGCATAATTGCACGAATGAGGTGCCTTACCTTTTACCTAACCCTAAATGAATAGTATTGTTTTTTAAATATCATGTCCGCTACAATGTTTGCTTGCAACACAGTCAACAATCCTTAGCTTGGCCATCTAGGACTTAAAAACATTCTTGGTTTGGATGCACACTATTGTTTTTCTGTATGCATAACTTGTATTTTAAGTTTACAATAACTGTTGATGTATTCTTATATTTAGTATTGCAATGTGTTTCTAGTTCCTGGACCAAGTGAGCAGCTTAATACGATGCAGCTGACCTTCACTACCTGTTACCTTTCATTGTTTCCTGACTGTAACTATTGATTCTTTTTATTTGCAAACTCTTGTTTATACGGCTTCATCGCTAGCTTTTACACACTTGGCATGAGAAGCATTTTCTAAATCTGTGACATTGCTAGTGAGGTGGGGGACTGAGGAGAGAAAGGAGGGAGTTGTTTGAAGAGAGGATGCTGCCATGAAAATTGTACTGACCTAATTCAGTTTGCGCTGATGGATTTTAAAAATAAGACTGCAGTATTTTTATATGTATATTTTATATATATATCCTACGTCTTCCTTCCAGTCTTAAGGTTATCGGACTGCGTTGGGAGTGTTTTCAGTATTGTTTTGTTAAAACAAAGAAGTGTTGGTTTTAATAAAAAAAATCCAAAAAAATCTCCTATTTGATTTAATTAACGGATATATGGAAATGGGTGCTTGTAGAAAAAAAAAAGTGTGTGCAAACAAGACCAGGCTTTGGGCATAAGATCTGGGAGATTTGAAGAGAGAACCCAAGAAAGGGCTCAACCGGTAAGCTATGGAAAGTACTGTTTTATGTGAAAACAAATTGGTTTTTGAATACATCAACACATGAGAATAAATGTATTCCTCCATAGACAAGATTATACTATATTTATGAGATATTCTGGATAGAATAGTTTTAAATGTATCCATCCTATATGGTATTTTAACTAGGGATATACCGATACTAGTATCAATATCGATGCCGATACCGAGTATTTGGGCGAGTACTCGTACTCGCCCAAATGCTCCGATGCCTAGCCCGATACTTCCTGTATCAGGAAGCGCGTCATTACACACTGCCGGGTTTCCTGATTGCCCGGAAAGCGGCTCCATGCTCTCTCGTCACTTGTGATGAGAGAGCATGCAGCCGACTTCCTGGCCAATTAGGAAGCCGGGTAGCGTGTAATGACGTGCTGCCCGGCTTCCTGATTGGCCAGCTTCCCGACCAATCGGGAAGCTGGACCAAACAGGCTGGACATGCCGAGGTAAGAGGGGATAGACTTTCTTGTTAATTGGGACGCCGGGTGGTGAGTCTTTACACGCTGCCCGGGTTCCCGGCTAATCAGGAAGCCAGGTGGTGAGTCATTACCCGCCACCTGGCTTCCTGAATGGGACTTCCGCAACTCGGTAATTGATATCGGCGAGTACCGGAAAAAATTATCCGTACTCGTACTCGGTACCGAAATACTGGTATCGGTGCATCCCTAATTTTAACCAGTAATCCATAACATAGGCTTTTTCTTTTTAAAGGACCAGTACTCCTAAATTACAAGCTGAATTATATGTAAGAGGTGAAATTGAAGACGTTCAAAATGAATCTCTGTCCGCATGTCTTTCAGCACTTGACTACAGGACCCTTAGACTTGGCAATTTGATTAAAGTGACATTAAACCCTCAGATTTTTTAACATAAACCAATACTGCAATGTGTGCCTTACTGTAATCCATGGTAGTTTCCCTTCTCTTTGCTGCTCTTCCTTTTAAATCCTCATGTCTTCTCATGCTTGGGGAGAACTTCCCTTTGCAGCTGAGTGCCTCTTCCTGTAGTGCTGGCTCAGGTTGCAAACCTACACACAGACACCATGGGGTTGATTTACTAACCTTATAAACACACCATGAACGTGTATACACCTCTGTAGTGTGTTCCCTCCCAGCATGATCTATGGAAGGAATCAAAACACCTTTGTAGTGTGTACACACCCAGCAGGTGTGTTGTGCAAAGCCCTGCAATGAATTGCAAGGTAATGTGGTGTAAATTAGCTCTATGTTATGTTGCTTGCGTTGATGAATGCAGGAATGTAAATGCATGAGCTAACCATTTTTGTCTAAACTGTGAAGCAGCATTATATATGCATCATGTGCATGATTTTTCCATATATGGCATTAGTGGAAATATGCTTTTAGAGACTTTTTGGTTGATAAATACGTTTTGCTGTGTGAAAATCACACACACCTGGTGCGTGCGTGTGTTTAGGTTAGTAAATCACCCCCCATGTATCCATTTCAGAGACAAGGTAGTCTGCTGCAAAACAGAAGTTCTGCCCAGCATGAGAACAGATACAGATTTAAAAGGAAGAGCAGCAACGAGAAGGGAAACAACCATGGATTACAGTAAGGATCACATTACAGTATTGTTTTATGTTGTTAAAATCTGAGGGCTTAATGTCACTTTAAGATGAGATTAAAAGACAGAGCGGGGAATTTATCAAAACTGGAGCAGACAAAATGTGGAGCAGTTGCCCTTGGCAACCAATCAGCTTCTCTCTTTAGTTTGTTCAGTTAAGATTTAAAAATGAAAGAGAGAAGTTGGTTGGTTTCCATGCACAGCTGCTCCAGATTTTGTCTGCTCCAGTTTTGCTAAATCCCCCCCAGGGAATTTTATTTTTATTAAGATATCGGTGAATGGTGAAAGTTTATTTTTCCTGGTTCTTTTAAGATACCGGTTTGTGAGTTCTTTATTTGTGTACAGAATGGAGAGCATGGTTTACAGGGAACCATACACTAGGTTGCAATTGATGTGCTTTAAATTTTTATGGTATTCGTTAATGACCATAAACATTTATTAATTAGGAGCAAGGTGGAGGAGTGGGGCAAAATGCATAAAGCAGCGTGTACTGACTTGATGGTGATTCATGCTGGGACCATGGGGACTTAGCTGTGACTGAATTAGTCAACAGGGAGAAAAATAAATCAACGCATAGAAAAAAAAAAAGATGTAAAGTGAATATATAGCAAAACTAGTGGCATCATAAGACTGCATGCATGTTATGAAGGTGTCTGTAATCACAGACTACAAATCTTTCTTTGTTCAGGTTTCCTTTCAACTCCTGATAGATGTTGCTGTAGGTAAGTCTATGTAAAAGATATAGAGTAAAAAGACATAGTTGAATGATATATATCTTTACTGGTTTACCTGTCAGTATTAGCCATTCTGCATAGCCAGACTGGTGACAAGTAGTGATTT